GACACACACAGAGACACACAGAGACACCCAGAGACACAGAGACACTCACAGAGACACACACACACAGAGACACACACACAGAGACACACAGAGACACACAGAGACACACACACACAGACACACACAGACACACACAGACACACACAGAGACACACACAGAGACACACTGAGACACAGAGACACAGAGACACACACAGAGACACACACAGACACACACGTCTAGAGAAAGACTTCTCAGAGGAGGTGAGACACTCACACAGAGACACACACAGAGACACACACAGAGACACTCACAGACACACAGAGACACACACAGAGACACACACACAGAGACACACACAGAGACACACACAGAGACACACAGATACACACACAGAGACACACAGAGACACACAGACACACACAGAGACACACAGAGACACACACACAGAGACACACACAGAGACACACACACAGAGACACACAGAGACACAGTCATACACAGACACACACAGAGATACACACACAGAGACACACTGAGACACACAGAGACACACAGACACAGAGACACACACAGACACACAGAGACACACACAGAGAGAGAGACACACAGAGACACACACAGAGACACAGAGACACACACAGAGACACAGAGACACACACAGAGACACACATGTCTAGAGAAAGACTTCTCAGAGGAGGTGAGACACACAGAGACACAGACACACAGAGACACACAGAGACACACACAGACACAGAGACACACACAGAGACACACAGAGACACACACAGAGGCACACAGAGACACACACAGAGACACAGAGACACACACAGAGAGAGACACACACAGTGAGAGACACAGGGAGAGAGACACGGGGAGAGAGACACGGGGAGAGAGACACGGGGAGTATGAGACACGGGGAGAGAAACGGTGAGAGAGAGACACAGGGAGATAGAGACACGGGGAGAGAGAGACACGGGGAGAGAGAGACACGGGGAGAGAGAGAGACACGGGGAGAGACACGGGGAGAGAGACACGGGGAGAGAGAGACACGGAGAGAGAGAGACACGGGGATAGAGAGACACGGGGAGAGAGAGACACGGGGAGAGAGAGACACGGGGAGAGAGAGACACGGGGAGAGACACGGGGAGAGAGACAGAGAGAGAGACACGGAGAGAGAGACAGAGAGAGACACGGAGAGAGAGACCACGGGGGGAGAGAGAGTGTGTCACTGTGTGTGTGTGTGTCTGTGTGTGTGTCACTGTGTGTGTCTTTGTCTGTCTGTGTGTGTCACTGTGTGTGTGTGTGTCTGTGTGTCACTGTGTGTGTTTGTCTGTCACTGTGTGTGTGTCTATGTGTGTGTGGCACTGTGTGTCTGTGTGTGTGTGTGTCACTGTGTGCGTGTGTGTCTGTCTGTGTGTGTGTCACTGTGTGTGTGTGTCTGTTTGTCACCGTGTGTGTGTCTGTGTCTGTGTGTGTGTCTGTGTGTGTGTCTGTGTGTGTGTGTGTCACTGTGTGTGTGTCTATGTGTGTGTGTCTGTGTGTGTGTGTGTCACTGTGTGTGTGTCACTGTGTGTGTGTATGTGTGTGTGTATGTGTGTGTGTGTCACTGTGTGTGTGTGTGTCTATGTGTGTGTGTGTCACTGTGTGTGTGTCTGTGTGTGTGTGTGTGTCACTGTGTGTGTGTCTGTGTGTGTGTGTGTGTGTCACTGTGTGTGTGTCTGTGTGTGTGTGTGTCACTGTGTGTGTGTCTGTGTGTGTGTGTCACTGTGTGTGTGTCTGTGTGTGTGTCACTGTGTGTGTGTCTATGTGTGTGTGTCTGTGTGTGTGTGTCTGTGTGTGTGTGTCTATGTGTGTGTCTGTGTGTGTGTGTGTCACTGTGTGTGTCACTGTGTGTGTGTGTCACTGTCTGTGTGTGTGTCCCATCAACCGGAGGCGAGGAATGGTGGTCGTGGTTACTTATGCCCCCACCGAAGATGAACATCCGTGGAGGGATGCAGGCAAAGCCGATGAGTCAGATGCCTTCTATGACCTCCTGTCACAGGTGCTGGCTAAAGTGGCCCCTCGGGATAGAGTCATCATGTTGGGTGACTTCAATGCCCGAGTTGGTCATGATACTGGCACCTGGTCTGGAGTGATTGGAGGGCATGGGCCAGATCAGCTCAATAACAATGGTAGGAGGCTGCTAGATTTTTGTGCAGCCCATGGGCTTGTAATTACCAACACGCTGTTCCGGCATCGGCGCATCCACACAACATCATGGATGCATGCCGGGTCCAAGCAAGAACATCTGCTGGACTACATAGTGACGGACCAGCGAATGCGAGCCCATGTCCTTGACACCAGGACCTACCGTGGAGCTGATCTGCCCTCTGACCATCGACTAGTCATCTGTAAGATGCGCCTGCCATTCTTCCACTCCGGTGGTGGGTGTACACCCAGGACCCCATTCCAACCTAAAGTGGCCTGGTCTCAGTTATCTGATGAAAGTTGCAAGCGAGAATTTCATCATCGCTTGCGGCTGGGATTGGCATCGTCCCCGACTCCTCCTGATGTCGAGGGTAAATGGGCGAGGTTTAGGACTGTGACTCATGCAGCTGCAATGGCTGCTTTGGGTACGCGGTCCAGACCTCCTCAGACACCCTGGATGACAGAGGAGTTGTTCAGGATGGTTGAGAAAAAGCGACAGGCCCACTGTCATCGGCTACAGAATCCCACGTCAGAGAATGAGGAGGCTTACCGCAGCCTTCGCTCGGAGGTTCGGAGAGCCGTGAGGCGCTGCAAGGATGGGTGGTGGTCGCGGGTTGCTGAGGAGATGGAGTCTGCCTCAGTGGCCCGTGATCACAAATCGCTATTTAACTCCATCAAAAAAGTAACCTGCAGCGCCACACCTATTACCATCATTAGGGGAAAAAACGGTGATCCAATTTCCGACCCCCAGGAACAGGTTCGCAGATTTGCTGAGCATTTCTGTGAGGTCCTGGGGGAGGGAAAATCCCACAGCCAGGAAAACATCGTGGCACAAAGTGAGGATGACCCTGCTGAGGCTGCGGTGCCTCAAATATTGGATGAAGTCACCCCCTGTGAGTGGCTGGCTGAGGTGCCATCTGCTGAGGAAGTATTGAAGGCGATCCGGAGTCTGAGACCAGGAAAGGCAGCGGGCAGAGATGATCTCCCAAGCGAAATGCTGAGGGAGGGTGGCGTTTGTGCACAGACTGCCCTATATGACATCATAACAACAGTCTGGACCACTGGACGGGTTCCGCAGGATTGGAAGGATGCCCTGGTGGTCCCCCTTTTTAAGAAGGGGGACCGCACAGACTGTAACAACTACAGGGGCATCTCACTCCTCAGTGTGCCGGGAAAGGTCCTGGCAAGGATTATTCAGCATCGCCTTGCCAGGCACGCTGAGGAGAGGCTTGCGGAGCCCCAATGCGGTTTCAGGAAAGGGCGGTCCTGCACAGATGCCATATTTTCTGTCCGTCTGCTACAGCAGAGGTGTAGGGAATTCCAACAAGACCTACATCTCTGCTTTATTGACCTGGTCAAGGCCTATGATACCATCAGTAGGCCTGGGCTCTGGGTCGTTCTTCGTGCTTTTGGAGTACCTGACCCTCTGCTCACGATCATTAAGGACCTTCATGATGGTGAGCGGGCCCGGGTAAAACTACGTGGCCGGGAGTCAGAGCCATTCCCTGTACACCTTGGGGTGCGACAGGGATGTCCTCTGGCTCCCACATTATTTAACATCTATTTTGACCACGTAGTTCGTGAAGCCTTCAATAGCTGTACCGGGGGAATCTCCATATGGTACAGATATAATGGGAGGCTAATCGATGCCCGGGTGCGGTCAAGGGATGGCTCTCTATTGCTCAACCACGTTATGTATGCTGATGACTTGGTAATAGCTGCTCAGTCAGAGGAGGAGTTGCAGACGCTGCTGCTGAGACTGGAGCGTGCCACTAAGAGGTGGGGCCTTACCATCAGCCCCACCAAAACTAAGCACCTGCCTGGGTATTTTGTACCATCGGACACTCCACCCCCACAACTCCCAATCGGTGATGGGGCAGTTGTGGAGAGAGTGGAGAGTTTCCCATACCTGGGCAGTGTGCTTATGACTGGCTCCAGTTTAACAGCAGAGGTCTCACTCCGAATCAGTCGAGCGGCAATATCTTTTCATCGGTTGCGTAACGCTGTGTGGAAGCTACCTGGTCTGTCGCTCCGCACTAAGCTTCAGGTCTTCTCGGCCACGGTCATTCCCTCCCTTCTCTACGCTTGCGAAACGTGGACCCCCCTTATGGAACATCTTCGCCGGTTAGAAACATTTAGGCTGGCCTGCCTACGATCCATCCTGGGTTTAACCAGACTGGATTGTGTGAGGAGCTCACAAATCCTTGAAAGATCTGGGCAGGGTCCCATCGGTGAGCTCCTCCGGCAGGCAAGGCTGCGATGGCTGGGTCATGTAGCCCGCATGCCCAGCCACCGCATGCCGAAACAGCTTTTGTTTGGCCGGATTGAGGGGGCTAAGCGGGCGCGGCACGGGCTAGAGAAGAGATGGAGTGATGTGGTACAGGAGGACGTGGAGCTGAGTGGACTTGCCGATGACTGGTACCAGCGGTGTCAAGATCGGCCTCTGTGGAGGAGGCTCGTGAAGGATGCTACTGGGCAGTTGGAGGCAGTCGCCCTCCAACAACAACGGAGGGCGGAGGAGCGACGCTCACAACAGCGAGCGGAGCGCCGGGTGGCTAAAGCACAGCAGGTTGGCACAGTAGGGGGCACAGGTGGTGCATCAGCCAGTCATCTCAGTCATCTCAGTCAGTCGACCCGTGGCACCTGGGTCTGCCCCGTGACCTCCTGCCAGCGGGCGTTCGACACTTCACGTGGCCTCAGGGTGCACATAGCCTGGCACAAGCGTCGTGGTGACGTCACCGCCACTTAGTGGCGAATGGCGGTTGTTGTTGTTGTTGTTGTGTCTATGTGTCTGTGTGTCTATGTGTGTGTCTGTGTGTGTGTGTTTCAGATGGTGAACGTGAAGTCCAAGTTCAAGGAGACTCTTGAGCGCTGCGACTCGCTGGAGCAGAAGCTGAACACGCTGGCCAAGGAGAGGCAAAGTCTGGAGAGGAAGTGAGACACACGGGGAGACACGCGGAGACACGGGGAGACACGGGGAGACACACGGGGAGACAGAGAGACACGGGGAGACACACGGGGAGACACGGGGAGACAGAGAGAGACACGGGGAGACACGGGGAGACAGAGAGAGACACACGGGGAGACACGGGGAGACACGGGAGACAGAGAGAGACGCAGACACAGAGAGAGACACGGGGAGACACGGGGAGACAGAGAGAGACACAGACACAGAGAGAGACACGGGGAGACACACACGGGGAGACACACACGGGGAGACACGGGGAGACACACGGGGAGACACGGGGAGACACGGGGAGACATGGGGAGACACGGGGAGACACGGGGAGACACGGGGAGACATGGGGAGACACACGGGGAGACACACGGGGAGACACGGGGAGACACACGGGGAGACACACACGGGGAGACACAGACACAGAGAGAGACACGGGGAGACACGGGGAGACAGAGAGAGACACAGACACAGAGAGAGACACGGGGAGACACACACGGGGAGACACACGGGGAGACACGGGGAGACACGGGGAGACACGCGGAGACACGCGGAGACACGAGGAGACATGGGGAGACACGGGGAGACACGGGGAGACACGGGGAGACACACGGGGAGACACGGGGAGACACGTGGAGTCACAGACACAGAGAGAGACACGGGGAGACACACACGGGGAGACACGGGGAGACACGGGGAGACATGGGGAGACACGGGGAGACACACGGGGAGACACACACGGGGAGACACAGACACAGAGAGAGACACGGGGAGACACGGGGAGACAGAGAGAGACACACGGGGAGACACGGGGAGACACGGGAGACAGAGAGAGACACAGACACAGAGAGACACGGGGAGACACACACGGGGAGACACACGGGGAGACACGGGGAGACACGGGGAGACATGGGGAGACACGGGGAGACACACGGGGAGACACGGGGAGACACGGGGAGACACGGGGAGACACGGGGAGACACGGGGAGACACGGGGAGACATGGGGAGACACGGGGAGACACGGGGAGACACGGGGAGACACAGACACAGAGAGAGACACGGGGAGACACGGGGAGACACGGGGAGACACGCGGAGACACAGAGAGAGACACGGGGAGAGACACGGGGAGACACACACCGGGAGACACGCGGAGACACAGAGAGAGACACGGGGAGAGACACGGGGAGACACACACCGGGAGACACGGGGAGACACGCGGAGACACAGAGAGAGACACAGACACAGACACAGAGAGAGACACGGGGAGACACGGGGAGACACGGTGAGACACACACGGGGAGACACGGGGAGACACGGGGAGACACGCGGAGACACGGGGAGACACGCGGAGACACGCGGAGACACGGGGAGACGCGCACGGGGAGACACGGGGAGACAGAGAGAGACACGGGGAGACACGGGGAGACACGCGGAGACACACACGACGAGACACGACGAGACACGGGGAGACACGGGGAGACAGACACGGGGAGACAGACACGGGGAGACACACACGGGGAGACACGGGGAGACAGAGAGAGACACGGGGAGACACGGGGAGACACGGGGAGACACACACGCGGAGACACACACGGGGAGACACGGGGAGACACGCGGAGACACAGACACAGAGAGAGACACGGGGAGACACGGGGAGACACGGGGAGACACGGGGAGACATGGGGAGACACGCGGAGACACGGGGAGACAGAGAGAGACACGGGGAGACACGGGGAGACACGGGGAGAGACACGGGGAGACAGAGAGAGACACGGGGAGACACGGGGAGACACAGAGAGAGACACGGGGAGACACAGACACAGAGAGAGACAGAGAGACACGGGGAGAGACACACGGGGAGAGAGAGACACAGGGAGAGAGAGACACGGGGAGAGAGAGACACGGGGAGAGAGAGACACGGGGAGAGAGAGACACGGGGAGAGAGAGACACGGGGAGAGGCACGGGGAGAGATAGACACGGGGAGAGACACGGGGGGAGAGACACGGGGAGAGAGAGAGACACGGGGAGAGACATGGGAAGAGAGAGACACGGGGAGAGAGAGACACGGGGAGAGACACGGGGAGAGAGAGACACGGGGAGAGAGAGACACGGGGAGAGAGAGACACGGGGAGAGACACGGGGAGAGAGAGACACGGGGAGAGACACGGGGAGAGACACACGGGGAGAGAGAGACAGGGAGAGAGAGACACGGGGAGAGAGAGACACGGGGAGAGAGAGACACGGGGAGAGGCACGGGGAGAGATAGACACGGGGAGAGACACGGGGAGAGAGACACGGGGAGAGAGAGAGACACGGGGAGAGACATGGGAAGAGAGAGACACGGGGAGAGAGAGACACGGGGAGAGACACGGGGAGAGAGAGACACGGGGAGAGAGAGACACGGGGAGAGAGACGGGGAGAGAGAGACACGGGGAGAGACAAGGGGAGAGACACACGGGGAGAGAGAGACAGGGAGAGAGAGACACGGGGAGAGAGAGACACGGGGAGAGAGAGACACGGGGAGAGAGAGACACGGGGAGAGAGAGACACGGGGAGAGGCACGGGGAGAGATAGACACGGGGAGAGACACGGGGAGAGAGACACGGGGAGAGAGAGAGACACGGGGAGAGACACGGGGAGAGAGAGACACGGGGAGAGAGAGACACGGGGAGAGAGAGAGACACGGGGAGAGACACGGGGAGAGAGAGACACGGGGAGAGACACGGGGAGAGACACACGGGGAGAGAGAGACAGGGGGAGAGAGACACGGGGAGAGAGAGACACGGGGAGAGAGAGACACGGGGAGAGAGAGACACGGGGAGAGAGAGACATGGGGAGAGGCACGGGGAGAGATAAACACGGGGAGAGACACGGGGAGAGAGACACGGGGAGAGAGAGAGACACGGGGAGAGACATGGGAAGAGAGAGACACGGGGAGAGAGAGACACGGGGAGAGACACGGGGAGAGAGAGACACGGGGAGAGAGAGACACGGGGAGAGAGAGACACGGGGAGAGACACGGGGAGAGAGAGACACGGGGAGAGACACGGGGAGAGACACACGGGGAGAGAGAGACAGGGAGAGAGAGACACGGGGAGAGAGAGACACGGGGAGAGAGAGACACGGGGAGAGAGAGACACGGGGAGAGAGAGACACGGGGAGAGGCACGGGGAGAGATAGACACGGGGAGAGACACGGGGAGAGAGACACGGGGAGAGAGGAGACACGGGGAGAGACATGGGAAGAGAGAGACACGGGGAGAGAGAGACACGGGGAGAGACACGGGGAGAGAGAGACACGGGGAGAGAGAGACACGGGGAGAGAGAGACACGGGGAGAGAGAGACACGGGGAGAGACACGGGGAGAGACACGGGGAGAGAGACACGGGGAGAGAGACACGGGGAGAGAGACACGGGGAGAGAGAAACACCCAGTGCTCGGCCTCTCTCTCCCCACTCACCACGTCTCTCTCTCTCACTCACCATCTCACCATCTCACTCACCATCTCACTCACCACGTCTCTCTCTCTCACTCACCATCTCACTCACCATCTCACCATCTCACTCACCATCTCACTCACCATCTCACCATCTCACTCACCATCTCACTCACCATCTCACCATCTCACTCACCATCTCACCATCTCACTCACCATCTCACTCACCATCTCACTCACCATCTCACTCACCATCTCACTCACCACGTCTCTCTCTGACTCACCATCTCTCTCTCTCACTCACCATCTCACTCACCACGTCTCTCTCTCACTCACAATCTCACTCACCATCTCTCTCTCACTCACCATCTCCCTCTCTCACTCACCATCTCACTCACCACGTCTCTCTCTGATTCACCATCTCTCTCTCTCACTCACCATCTCTCTCCACTCACCATCTCTCTCCACTCACCATCTCACTCACCATCTCACTCACCACATCTCTCTCTCTCACTCACCATCTCACTCACCACCTCACTCACCATCTCACTCACCACGTGTCTCTCTCTCACTCACCACTCACCAGGTGCACCACACTGACCCAGCGCCAGGCTCGCCTTGCCTCCGACCTGGACACGGAGCGACAGCTGAACCACTGTCTGTCTCTCTCACTCACCATCTCACCATCTCACTCACCATCTCACCATCTCACCATCTCACTCACCATCTCACTCACCACCTCACCATCTCTCTCTCTCACCAGGTGCACCACGCTGACCCAGCGCCAGGCTCGCCTTGTCTCCGACCTGGACACGGAGCGACAGCTGAACCACTGTCTGTCTCTCTCTCTCACCATCTCACTCACCATCTCACTCACCACCTCACCATCTCACCATCTCACTCACCATCTCACTCACCATGTCTCTCTCTCACTCATCATCTCACTCACCATCTCTCTCTCACTCACCATCTCACTCACCATCTCACCACCTCACCATCTCACTCACCATCTCTCTCCCTCACCAGGTGCACCACACTGACCCAGCGCCAGGCCCGCCTTGCCTCCGACCTGGACACGGAGCGACAGCTGAACCACTGTCTGTCTCTCTCTCTCTCACCATCTCACCATCTCACTCACCATCTCACTCACCACCTCACCATCTCTCTCACTCACCAGGTGCACCACACTGACCCAGCGCCAGGCTCGCCTTGTCTCCGACCTGGACACGGAGCGACAGCTGAACCACTGTCTGTCTCTCTCACTCACCATCTCACTCACCATCTCACTCACCACCTCACCATCTCACCATCTCACTCACCATCTCACCATCTCACTCACCATCTCACCATCTCACTCACCATCTCACTCACCATCTCACTCACCATCTCACCATCTCACCATCTCACTCACCACCTCACTCACCATCTCACCATCTCTCTCACTCACCAGGTGCACCACGCTGACCCAGCGCCAGGCTCGCCTTGTCTCCGACCTGGACACGGAGCGACAGCTGAACCACTGCCTGTCTCTCTCACTCACCATCTCACTCACCATCTCACCATCTCACCATCTCACCATCTCACTCACCATCTCACTCACCATCTCACCATCTCACCATCTCACTCACCATCTCACTCACCACCTCACCATCTCTCTCTCTCACCAGGTGCACCACACTGACCCAGCGCCAGGCTCGCCTTGCCTCCGACCTGGACACGGAGCGACAGCTGAACCACTGTCTGTCTCTCTCACTCACCATCTCACTCACCATCTCACCATCTCACTCACCATCTCACCATCTCACCATCTCACTCACCATCTCACCATCTCACTCACCATCTCTCTCTCTCACCAGGTGCACCACACTGACCCAGCGCCAGGCTCGCCTTGCCTCCGACCTGGACACGGAGCGACAGCTGAACCACTGCCTGTCTCTCTCACTCACCATCTCACTCACCATCTCACTCACCATCTCACCATCTCACCATCTCACTCACCACCTCACTCACCACCTCACCATCTCTCTCTCTCACCAGGTGCACCACGCTGACCCAGCGCCAGGCTCGCCTTGCCTCCGACCTGGACACGGAGCGACAGCTGAACCACTGCCTGTCTCTCTCACTCACCATCTCACCATCTCACTCACCATCTCACCATCTCACCATCTCACTCACCATCTCACCATCTCACCATCTCACTCACCATCTCACTCACCACCTCACCATCTCTCTCACTCACCAGGTGCACCACACTGACCCAGCGCCAGGCTCGCCTTGCCTCCGACCTGGACACGGAGCGACAGCTGAACCACTGTCTGTCTCTCTCTCTCACCATCTCACTCACCATCTCACCATCTCACCATCTCACTCACCATCTCACTCACCACCTCACCATCTCTCTCACTCACCAGGTGCACCACACTGACCCAGCGCCAGGCCCGCCTTGTCTCCGACCTGGACACGGAGCGACAGCTGAACCACTGTCTGTCTCTCTCACTCACCATCTCACTCACCACCTCACCATCTCACTCACCACCTCACCATCTCACTCACCATCTTTCTCTCTCACCAGGTGCACCACACTGACCCAGCGCCAGGCCCGCCTTGTCTCCGACCTGGACACGGAGCGACAGCTGAACCACTGTCTGTCTCTCTCACTCACCATCTCACCATCTCACCATCTCACTCACCATCTCACTCACCACCTCACCATCTCTCTCACTCACCAGGTGCACCACACTGACCCAGCGCCAGGCTCGCCTTGTCTCCGACCTGGACACGGAGCGACAGCTGAACCACTGTCTGTCTCTCTCACTCACCATCTCACTCACCATCTCACTCACCACCTCACCATCTCACTCACCATCTCTCTCACTCACCAGGTGCACCACACTGACCCAGCGCCAGGCTCGCCTTGCCTCCGACCTGGACACGGAGCGACAGCTGAACCACTGTCTGTCTCTCTCACTCACCATCTCACCATCTCACCATCTCACTCACCATCTCACCATCTCACTCACCATCTCTCTCTCTCACCAGGTGCACCACACTGACCCAGCGCCAGGCCCGCCTTGCCTCCGACCTGGACACGGAGCGACAGCTGAACCACTGCCTGCGCTGCAACCAGGCGAGCCTGCAGCAGGCCTCAGCCAGCGAGTGTGCACGTCAGCGGGCTCGTGCGGACGATCTCAGCGAGCAGCTCAGGGACGTCACCTTCGCGCTGGAGGCCGGCCAGCTCATCACCAGGCTCACGCCCCAGCAGCGTGCCGAGGTCATGGAGGGGCGCATCGACCTCCCGGCCGCCGGCACCGACGGCGGCGGAGGCGGTGGTGGAGGTGGAGGCGGTGGTGGGGGAGCGGGAGCGGGAGGGAGGGGGAGGAGGGGGCGTGGGCGGAGGGGGAGGTAGAGGTGGTGGTGGTGGTGGAGGTAGTAGGGGTGGTGGAGGTGATGGTGATGGTGGTGGTGGTAGGGGTAGTAGGGGTGGTGGAGGTGATGGTGATGGTGGTAGGGGTAGTAGGGGTGGTGGAGGTGATGGTGATGGTGGTAGTAGGGGTGGTGGAGGTGGTGGAGGTGGTGATGGTGGGGGTGATGGTGGTGGTGATGGTAGGGGTAGTGGGGGTGGTGGTGGTGGAGGTAGTGGGGATGGTGGAGGTAGTCAGGGTGGTGAAGGTAGTAGGGGTAGTGGGGATGGTGGTGGTGATGGTGGTGGTGGTGATGGTGATGGAGGTGGTAGTGGAGGTGGTAGTGGGGGTGGTGGTGGAGGTGGTAGGGGTAGTGGTGATGGTGGTGGTGATGGAGGTGGTAGAGGTAGTGGTAGTGGAGGTGGTGGTGGAGGTAGTCAGGGTGGTGGAGGTGGTAGGGGTAGTGGGGATGGTGGTAGTGGAGGTGGTAGTGGGGGTGGAGGTGGTGATGGTGGAGGTGGTGGAGGTGGTGGTGGTAGTGGGGGTGGTTGTGGTTGTTGTGGCAGTTGTTGAGTTTGTGTCATTGTGTGTCAGTGTGTGTCAGTGTGTGTGTCAGTGTGTGTGTCAGTGTGTGTCAGTGTGTGTGTGTTAGTGTGTGTCAGTGTGTGTGTGTTAGTGTGTGTCAGTGTGTGTGTCATTGTGTGTCTGTGTGTGTGTCAGTGTGTGTCAGTGTGTGTGTCAGTGTGTGTGTGTCAGTGTGTGTTAGTGTGCGTGTGTCAGTGTGTGTGTGTCAGTGTGTGTCAGTGTGTGTCAGTGTGTGTGTGTCAGTGTGTGTGTCAGTGTGTGTCAGTGTGTGTGTGTCAGTGTGTGTGTCAGTGTGCGTGTGTCAGTGTGTGTGTCAGTGTGTGTCAGTGTCTGTTAGTGTGTGTGTGTGTCAGTGTATGTTAGTGTGTGTCAGTGTGTGTTAGTGTGTGTGTGTCAGTGTGTGTGTGTGTCTGTGTGTGTCAGTGTCTGTTAGTGTGTGTCTGTGTGTGTGTCTGTGTGTGTGTCTGTGTGTGTCAGTGTCTGTGTGTGTGTCTGTGTGTGTGTGTGTGTGGTGGCACAGTGGTTAGCGTCTCCGCTGTGTCTACGAACCCGGCGACCTGAGTTCGATTCCCGCTCACCACCACCACCACCACCTGTGACAGCCTCCCATTGGTCGACTCATCCTCAACAGAGACGGCCTCGATTGTGATTGGTCGGTCTGGATAGCTCCTCCCCCCTCTCTGCGTTGACGATGTTACGGGATCAGCAATAAAAGTGTCATTGGCCGAGGTGGTGATGGTTGTGGTGGTGGTTGTGGTGGTGGTTGTGGTGGTTGTTGTGGTGGTTGTGGTGGTGGTTGTGGTGGTTGTGGTGGTTGTGGTGGTTGTTGTGGTGGTTGTGGTGGTGGTTGTGGTGGTGGTTGTGGTGCTGTCCGTTGACTCGCACAGAGACCCACAGACTCACCACACAGAGACCCACAGACTCACCACACAGAGACCCATAGACTCACCACACAGAGACCCACAGACTCACCACACAGAGACCCACAGACTCACCACACAGAGACCCATAGACTCACCACACAGAGACCCATAGACTCACCACACAGAGACCCACAGACTCACCACACAGAGACCCACTGACTCACCACACAGAGACCCACAGACTCACCACACAGAGACCCACAGACTCACCACACAGAGACCCATAGACACACCACATAGAGACCCACAGA